ATTGTCGGCTTCTTTGACGGAGGTGGGCCAGAACGGTTTCATTTTTTTGGGGCTGCTTTTCCTGGTTACCACACCTGTCGGCTTTGTCCTTTTTTTGCGCTGTTTTGACGTTCACCGCTTGATTTGCTCCCTGGCCAGGACGGTACAGGTGCAACTGAGACGCTGCAAGCCACTGCTTCTGCCATCCACCAGCCGCAGATGCCGCCGCAATTTTTGCCTGAAAGCCATGGCCATGATGCATTGGGTGACCATGCCCTGCATCTTCTTGAATTGTTTGAGAACGCAGGAGATTGTCGTGCTTTTCTCTCTGAACTTCCCCTCTTCTCAGCCGACCCGGAGGTCACTCTGGACAAGATCGCGGAGCATTACCAGGCGCAAGTCTCTGACCTTTGCTTGGACAATGTGAACAGTCACGCTGCTCTTGAAGTCGTGCCATGGATCGGAGACACCATGGTCTACCCTTTGGCCGTCCTGCTTGAAGCCACAGCCCGAGCCACGGCTATTCCACTGGTATTCTGGATCGATCTAGTGCAAAGTTTCGGAAATGCAGTGGTGCACAAGCGGGCCGGCGTGCAACTCACTGAGCGGTATCATACCAAGAATCGGTATTGGATGGTTGGCACTGCAAACGTCGCTGAAGGGAAGTCACCAGCGATGATGCCAGTCGTCGAAGCTGTGGAGAGGGCGTTGCACCAGAACACAGCTTTCACCGTGGGCTCACCTGGCGACCAGTTTCACCTGCAACAGGGCAGCACTTCCGCAGCGGCTCGCGAAAAGCTTCGTTTCTGTGACGGATATCTGGCAATACATTCGGATGAAGCTGGCGCCTGCCTTTGCCCTGCTTTTGCCAACGGTGGAGCCACTGACCCATCCAAGTTCATTGATTTCCAACTGTTTCTCAATGCTGCCCACGGTGGCTCTTTTAGCTTCAGCACCCAAGTTGACCGCCAAAAAAGTGTTGAAGCACAAGGTTCCTGATCCAACAGCCCCTGTGCCAGAACCAGTTGGCATGACTTTGAAAGAAACAAATGTTCACATAATTTTTTTGCAGCAGGAACTGTTTCTTTCTAATTGGTGGGCGCCAGTGGCAGCAACCAAACCACTTGGATTGGTGCAGCGCTTTCTCTTTTCCTTTGGAGCTCGTTTGAATATGGGCAAGCAGTCTTGGAATGGCTTCTTGCAAGATGTCACGGTGCCTATTCTCGAGCAGCTTTTTAGTGCTATCATCCGGCGGTTTGGGCCTCATATTACCACTTCAGCCGACTTTGTCTTTGAAACTACACATGCACAGCGTGCGGTCATTGTTGAGCTTGAAGAGATTGGCCGCTTGTTTGCTTGCAAAGATTCCGTGCACACGGTCTTTCGGGAGGCCATGCCCAAGGCCATGTATTGGCTGGGCACCGCCGTGCTGACGAACCACCTGGTGGCGAATTTGTGGCCAAGTGCGTTGGGGCGTGATTTGCCGGATGAGTTTCCCACGACTGTGTCCAACGAGTGTTTCATTGCGAGTGTCCAATTCATGCTGAAGCGGTATCTTTTTGGCCAGGCAATCCTCAGCGTCACTTCCAAAGAGCAAACTTGGTTGCACCGTCGGCACGACTTCCGCGACGCGGAGGATGATTTACTCCCATTGCTGCTCCGCATTTTGCGGGGAGCGCCTGGCTCTGTCATCACCTTGGAACACATTTTTTGTGCAGACCTGGCATTGAAACGAAGTATCGAGAAAGGCTCCTGCAACGCGGCGGATCTGGCCCGCCAACGCATCGCTGATTTGTGGTTGCAGCTGAAAGACCTTGGGCTTGGGGAGCTGTGCAGCTCCGGTGGTACTGCGCGATTCCGCAAATATCATGTCGGGTCACTGTCTCCTGGTTGTTTGGATTGGTTGCGGAAACACCGGGTGCCACTTTCCCATTTCGGAAAACGTTCACATGTTGATCATGCAGCTTTTCTAGGCACCTGCCGTGGAGGGTGCGTGGACGTTGATTCGGGTGTGTGTGGAAGCAAAGACACAGCAGTGGACTCCGGGGAGCAAGAGCTTCAACCTTTGCAAAGTGCAGTGCCTCGTGTTGCAAAGCCGTCTCCACAAGTTGCGCGTGGCGGTGCAAGTGCCCACCCAAATCAACCAGCCAAACCAAGGAAGAAGAAGCAAGCCATCCAGTGGCGCGACATTTCTCGGGTGGAGCTTGGGTCTCCTTTGATGTCCAACCAGCAGCTTTTGCAGCACCTGCGCCGCAGACCTGAATGGGCTGACACCAGAGTGGCCGTGCGGACTTTGTGGCAAAACAAAGAACGCATTTTGAGTGAGGTTCGCTGCGTAGAAAGCGAACTGTGCACCCATTGCTGGCGAACCCACTACATTCTCAGCAAGAGTTTGTACAGCCCTGGAACTTTGGTCGTTCAGGCATCTGGTGAACACACCGGGCATGACGGTGCTGTACCTTGTGCGTCAGGGAAAATCTTCAACGAAAAGCAGCGCGAAATTGCTGCCCGCTTCCTCTCCGGAGGTGGCCGTGGGGCCAAAAATTTGCGCGTGGCCCTTCTAGCTGCAGGCTGTGCCGATGCATCATTGCCTGACAACACCCAGCTTGCCAATTGGTTGAGAAACAACAGCCGCAAAAACAAGGATGCCCTCGACAAAGACAAGTCTGTTGTGGCAGCGGTTGCTTTGGAAGTTAGTCAGTTGCCACGAAGCCTTCCAAAGCAAATCGATGCATTGTTTCTTCTGCGGGACCCAATCATCACGGATACGGAAGTCTGTATCCTTTTCGCTTCTCCCGGGACGCTGAACACCTTTGACCGTTACACTGGTCTAGATGTCGCCCTTTCTGTGGACACCAAGATGAAGGTGTTGACCCGCGGAATGGGCGTGGCCACAGTCAGCTTATTGGTCAAGGACCAGCTGCGCAAGACGCGCTTGCCCAAACTTGGCTCTCGGACTCAAAGCCGTGCTTGGACGTCGCATGGCATGCCCGTTGCGCAGGCAATTTTTCACGCCGAAACAAAGCCCAACTATTGCCGCCTTTTTCGGACCTGTTGCGACTTGTGGGCAGAACGCCAGCCGAGCCGCTTGCCTCTGCCCGAGCAGCGAAGCCTTCAAATCCACAAGGACTTTCACCCCAGCGCCGAAGAAGCTCGTCGAGAAGTCTTCCCACACTCTCGGGCATGTGATGATTTTTTCCATTTCAAAGAAAAATCTCACACGGTCATGCGGTCCAAGTGCCGTCAGGTTGTTCTTCACAAAGGAAAACATGTGAAAAAGCATTTGCACTATGCCTTGACTGTGGTGTCGCTGCTGCGGTTCATCCCGACATTGCCTCTGTTTAGCTGGCTCTGGAAAGCTTTCCTGGCTTCTTTGCGACGCATGGATGAACCGATTCTAGCCGATTGGTTGCAATCATACGAGCGGCCTTTGCCATCTATCTTTTCCGAGCAAGCCGCTGGCCCACAGGATCTTATTTATGTGAGTTTCTGGGTTGGCTTTGATGGCATTATACCCGGATCGGGCAGCGGCAGTGAGCCCGCAGAAGCTGTGCATGGCGCGTGGCAAACGGAATTGGCTTCTCTCGGTGGCCGTGGAGACATCAACCATTGCTTGTGCGTCCTACAAAGGCTCTACACACAACATTGGCAAGACTGGTACTCTTGGATGGATGCTTCGCCTTTGTCTTTTCAGCCGGCCGGACAGGACCCTCAGTTAGTCAATGGTGCGGCTTTAGCGCGAGCCGGGCGCACTACAGCAGCCAACTTCTCCAAGTTGCCACCGAACTCGTGCTATGTCCTTCAACAGTCCACAGATCATTCGTGGGTTGCCTGTGCAGCCACTGCCGCCACATCGCCGGTGAATCGTAGCTTGGCGCAGGGAATCTTGCGGTTCCTTCTTCAGCCGACGCTGCTGCATGCAAACAGTTTGCCTCAGTTGTTTGACGATTCCGGCAATCTTTCATTGCAGGCCCTTCGCTTTCACTTTGAAGATGTTGTGTATGTGCGGGCGCGGCCGACGTCCCTCCTTTGTTCTTGTGCTGCCGCAACAATGCATGCCCAGTGCGAGCATTCGACGTTCCTTCGCAGCTTGGCGCTGCCGACATTCCCTTCGGACTCATTACTGCTCAATGATGTCCCAAAAGCTCGCAAGCGTACCGGGCGTCGAACAACTGCTGCTGAGCCGCCGCGGAAACGGCGCAGACGTACAGGGTGATTTGCTTCAAAGAAAGCCGTTGGTGCAGGTCCATCACGCTGCTGAAAAGTTTGTGCCGCAACTTCGCTGACAGTGCTTTCTTTGTGTAACAGCCTTGTTCTACTTTTAGTTTCTTTAAATTTCGAGCTTCAGCTTCCTCATGTCAGGTCTTTCAATTAAGCCTTTCAAACTGCAATACTGCTTTACTGCGCAGCATCTCCTTGCGCATGACATGCCCTTTTCCTTCTTCCACCCTGGACGCCATGCAGCCGGTCATTCTCTCAGGTCTACCATCCTCGTGTCCACCTGGGCCGGCGGGCGACCGACAAGGAGGAGGAGAAGAAGTCGTAGCAGTAGTAGTAGGATAAGGAGGCTGATGATGGTCATGAGGATGATGAAAATGGTGATGTTGATGCAGATGATGCTAATGATGACGCAGATGATGAGGAGGATGAG